GTACAAAGAGGAACGAGACACGTCTTAATCACCAGTGAAACCATCCCGTACAAAGAGGAACAGGGCACGTCTTAATCACCAGTGAAACCATCCCGTACAAAAAGGAACGGGAAAAGACTTAATCACCAGTCATGGATGGTCTGCATCATAGCTACTGACAGAAACAGTAAACACGAATATCAAAACCACACTAACCTTTTCATCACCTAGTAAGAAGGGAACTGACAAAATGTTTGGAAAGGAACATATCACAGCAACACACCAAGGGAGACAACCTAAAACTGTACAGCCCTTTCAACCTTACCAGCGTCATTGGGAGAAAAGTTGGGGACTATAGCGAAAGTAACAAGTAAGAAAATAATAGATCACATCGAAAACAATGAATGGCTAAGTAAGAAACAATGAGGATTCGGGAAAGGCAGATCAACTTTTAAAAGTAAATACTAGTTGATAATTGGATGAAAATATTAGACCAAAGAGAAACTATTCAAACCACATATTTAGACATCAAAGTACTACACAGAAAACTGTTCAGAGAAATGAAAACATATGGATTCTCAACGGATATCGGAGATTGTGTGCAGGGATAAATAACATGTAGGAAACAAGAATTTCCGGATGAAGATATTTGGTGTGGCATTGTCAGTAATCTGTTAGAAGAAAAATAACAATATCCATAATACGTTTGGTTACCCTTCGTAGAGTTTTCAAAGTTCTAACTGAGAGCGAAATAATGTTCCACTTGACAGATGTACATTGTTTTAAATCACAACAACCTAATGCTCCAACTAACATTTACCTAATGCTCCGACTAACAGTAACCATTGCTCCAACTTACAGTAACCATTGCTCCAACTTACAGTAACCATTGCTCCAACTAACAGTTACCTATTGCTCCAACTGACCATAATCCAACTAACATTTACCAAATGCTCCAACTTACAGTAACCATTGCTCCAACTAACAATTACCAAATGCTCGAACTAACAGTTACATATTGCTCCAACTAACAGTTACCTAATGCTCCGACTGACAGTAACCATTGCTCGAACTTACAGTTACCCTATTGCTCCAAAAAACATTTACCTAATACTCCAACTAACATTTACCTTATGCTCCAACTAACAGTAACCATTGCTCAAACTAACAGTAACCATTGCTCGAACTTACAGTTACATATTGCTCCAACTAACAGTTACCCTTTGCTCCAACTGACCATAATCCATTGCTCCAACTGACCATAATCAATTGCTCCAACTAACAGTTACCCATCGCTCCAACTGACCATATCCCTTTGCTCCAACTTACAGTAACCCTTTGCTCCAACTGACTATAACCCATTGCTCCAACTGAACATAATCAATTGCTCCAACTAACAGGTACCCATCGCTCCAACTGACCATAACCCATTGCTCCAACTTACAGTTACCTATTGCTCCAACTGACCATAATCGATGCTCCACCTAACAGTTAACCATTGCTCCAACTGACCATAATCCAACTAACATTTACCTATTGCTCCAACTAACAGTTACCTAATGCTCCAACTAACATTTACCGTATGCTCTAAATAATAACCATTGCTCAAACTAACAGTAACCATTGCTCCAACTGAAAGTTACCATTGCTCCATCTAACAGTTACCCATTGCTCCAACTTACAGTTACCCATTGCTCCAACTAAAAGTAGCCTAATGCTCCAACTAACATTTACCTAATGCTCCAATTAACAGTAACCATTGCTCCATCTAACAGTTACCCATTGCTCCAGCTTACAGTTACCCATTGCTCCATCTAACAGTTAGCATTGCTCCACCTAACAGTTACCATTGCTCCAACTTACACTTGCCCATTGCTCCAACTTACAGTTACCCATTGCCTAAACTAAAAGCTACCCATTGCTCCAATTGACAATAATCCATTGCTCCAACTGACGATAATCCATTGCTCCAACTGACCATAACCTATTGCTCCAACTGACCATAATCCATTGCTCCAACTGACCATAACCCATTGCTCCAACTTACAGTTACCCACTGCTCCAACAAACTATAATCCATTGCTCCACCTAACAGTTACCCATTGCTCCAACTGACTATAATCCATTGCTCCACTTAACAGTTACCCATCGCTCCAACTGACAGGAACCCACTGCTCCAACTGACCATAATTCATTGATCCACCTAACAGTTACCCATCGCTCAAACTGACCATAATCCAATGCTCCACCTAACAGTTACCCATCGCTCCACCTGACCATATTCCATTGCTCCACCTAACAATTACCCATTGCTCCACCTGACCATAATCCATTGCTCCATCTAACAGTTACCCATCGCTCCAACTGACCATAATCCATTGCTCCACCTAACAGTTACCCATCGCTCCAACTGACCATATTCCATTGCTCCACCTAACAGCTACCCATCGCTCAAACTGACCATATTCCATTGCTCCACCTAACAGTTACCCATCGCTCAAACTGACCATAATCCATTGCTCCACCTAACAGTTACCCATCGCTCCACCTGACAGTAACCAATTACCTCTGACAACAGATCAATGTTTCAAATGAAAGCGTTAAATTCCTTCTTGAGCAGACAACTGGATATGTGCAGACGTAACATGAAATTCCATGGTCACTTCTTGTCCACTTTTCCACAATAACGGAGTCTGAGATTATCATCATCAGCTGCACATAATAGTTCACATGGCTATCGATTGATAAAAAGACATAATAATAAAAAGGACATAATAGTAGACAGGGTCCAGGATATATAGAGGATACCGACTGCTAAACTTGGCCGTTTACACCTATTGAGCCGTTGAGATGGGTGATTTGTCAGAGTACGTTTTCTGATTTTGCAGTTATGTATTCTGGCGTCAGAACTACAGATGTGGACAAGAAAAATATACATACATTTCTCACAGGTCACTATATAACGCCAACCCAGGAATATAGTTGAGTGGAAGCAGCAGGCGATTAGTTTAGGACAATGATTATATGTAACTATGGTGAACTCATCATCGGACATAATAACTGGACTGAACGGAATAAAGCCACAGCGTGGTAGCCCGACATTATTAGGGAATTACATGTTCCCACAGACGTCGTTTGATTGCAAAAGTCTGGGTTAGCGACATGACTGCGCGTGCAGGACAACACAATAGCTTTCAATAACGTTCGATTCACTAATCTCCAGGACTTAAGATGTTTCATGGCAAAAATGTTTGAGACTACTATCTTTCTATATATAAATGGGTAAAAGATGGTAATTGCAATCTTCTCCCCTGGTCATGATCATGCCTTTAAGTCCCTAGCGTTGGGTCCAAACTGATACAAAGGATTGTATTTGTTTCTTGATGTCCGGCAACAAAATATCTGGTTAAATGATGATAATCACAACCAATTAAAGATTTGGCAAAAGTACACCCGAAACCTTACAAGTATGTGAGGAAACTTTGTACTACGTCATTCCGGATACAAACTCGCCAAATATCAGGACACTTGGACCAGTTCACCGCTCAATATTAACCTTTGACTTCAAGAACGAAAAAGAAAAACATTTGCAATGCTTGTCTAACTAACATATACAGGCGTTATTATTTTGGACTCTATAGTTTAGTTAGGTGAAGTTTTTTTTTTTTTTTTTTTTTAAATTTTTGACCCATGCTACCTTGAAAATAGGTCAAGGTCATATATATATAAAGGACACTTCATAGCATTCCAGTCCAGGAACCATCTGGCTTTATATCAGGGTCCTGGGCTTTTTGGAACTTCAGAAGCTTTAAATACGTTTAATCTGTAATAGTAAATGCCGACAACTGAACCTACCAGACTTTTAACTTTCTTTTTTTATCCAAGGTACTAACTAGTTATATATATATCATTACAATGGGCCTTTTGATTTTAAAGAAGGAGACGGTTAAAGAAATAAATTGAGTGTAAAGAAATGGCAAAATACCTGATATAAAATTTTTATGAACAACTTATTTCGAAAACAAAGAGGATAGTGTAAAAATAAGATGTACACTTCTGTATAAAGAATTGATCAGAAGAAAATGTCCTTACTGGTCAGTCTCTGACTAGAATACACCAAGTAAGGACATGACATGAACCGAACACAGAGGTAAGTCCTGACTGTCGAAATTGTGGGTAAATCTCACACACTGTTTTTAAGCAATACAGTCATGTTAGTCACAGGGCAGTTTTACATAAACTTAAGAGAAGTTAAGAGACATTTTAATATGCAATATCTGTGCAATTTCAGAAGAACTGTCCCATATACCGTATTTTTGCTTGAACATTTTCAGGAACTCATTACAACATTACAACAACACTATGTATAAACCACTCTCTATGAGATAGACGGGATTGGCTATTCTTTATTATGATATTTTGGTGGTAGAAATGTGTGTAGAAGAAGACCACTGTTGTTAGGCCGTTTGTTACCAGGGTGACTATCCTTCATCAATAATGGAGACTATTTTGGCTGTTCGGAGGAGATGGGTGTAAACCCAGTACGGACATTTATCAGCTGTTCCTCTGGGAATATCCGATCCTGTCAATGTTACAATTATCGCTTGATGTCCTGTCGATAAAGTCTGCTGGGTGCGTACTGTTCGTACTACCAAATATACTGTTTGTACCTACACGTACAAGTAAACCGTTTGTACCTTTAATTAACTACAAGTAAACCGTTTGTACCTTTAATTAAGTACAAGTAAACCGTTTTTTTCTCCTCAAGTACAAGTTAACTGTTTGTACCTCAAAGTACAAGTAAACTGTTTGTACCTCCAAGTGCAAGTAAACAATTTGTACCTCCACTTTCAAGGTAACTTTTTGTACCTTCAACTACAAGTACACCATTTGTACCTCCATTTACAAGTTAACCTTTGGTACCTCCAACTACAAGTGAACCGTTTGTACCTCCAAGTACAAGTAACCCGTTTGTACCTCCAAGTACAAGTAAACTGTTTGCACTTTTAAGTACAAGAAAAATGTTTGTACCTCCAAGTACAAGTAAACCGTTTGTACCTCCAAGTACAAGTAAACCGTTTGTACCTCCAAGTACAAGTAACCCGTTTGTACCTCCAAGTACAAGTAACCCGTTTGTACCTTTAAGTACAAGAAAACTGTTTTTACCTCCAAGTACAAGTAAACCGTTTGTACCTCCAAGTACAAGTAACCCGTTTGTACCTCTAAGTACAAGTAAACCAATTGTACCTCCAAGTATAAGTAAACCGTCTGTACCTCCAAGTACAAGTAACCCGTTTGTACCTCCAAGTACAAGTAAGCCGTTTGTACCTTCAAGTACAAGTAACCCGTTTGTACCTCCAAGTACAAGTAAACCGTTTGTTTCTCCAATTACAAGTAAACCGTTTGTACCTCCAAGTACAAGTAAACCGTTTGTACCTCCAAGTACAAGTAAACTGTTTGTATCTCCAAGTACAAGTGATCCGTTTGTACCTCCAAGTACAAGTACACCTTTTCTCCCGAAAAAAAATCAAGTTTCGTCTGTTTATGGTACGAAGTACAACCTAACTCTTTGTATTAACATAAATAAATAGTTGGTTGAAGTGATGGGTTGCAGTATAATTGTTCCATGTTCACACTAGATATTACAGATTAACTCTGTTGTAATTTGGTCAGAGCCGCCAAAATGTTTCACCATAATCAAACTTAACTACCAGCAGAGGAAGGCCGTTGGGAAACCAAAGAGTTGAATAAAGCAGAGTTCGGCGAACTAATGGTGAGGTGCAAGAAGAGAAGATGGAATTTACGTCTGTTACAAGCGGCAATTGAGCTTAAAAATCCCTTTTAGGACAATACAGTCAAAGGGACAATCATCTGAGTAATCAGTGACAACTGGGAAAGAATATATATACAGAATATAACAGGATAGAATTTTGGGAAGGTCTCTGGCTCGGAGTGACAGATGACATCCAGGAACACATTGGAACAGAGTATTTCGTGTAACAGCCAGGTATACAGTTCCCGCGAAGAGACGCCTAGAGCAGGCTACAGAACAGAGGATAGAATTCCAAAGATGGCATGATTAGGGGTTTAACCACACGGACAAAACGGATACAATCAGGGTACGGGCAGACACGGTGATAATTTAAACTTCAATGGGAGTAGCACCCGTTCAAAGAATATACTATTACAGACATGATTGCAAAATACATTATAAAACTTAAACTCCATCAAACTTGGACCAAATGACGAAGAACCGTAGAGAAATCTTGACCACGAGATATTTAAGGAAAAAATCTCAGTGTAAACTGCCTGACCAAAACCAAGAACAGAGACATCAAAGGAGAACGGGAGTGGTTGATTTGGGTTCAGATCGAAGAACTGCAAAAAGCGTAAACAGAGTAAGGGAAGAATTTTAAATCAACAACATAATATCAGAAGGTTATGATACAGAAGATCCGAGATGACGTTAGGGTGAGATCTCGCAAAGTTTAGAACTTTAGACCGCTGTCAAACGAGACAGAACGTCATCTCTTTTTCCACCCCGGTGTTGACAATCATTCCAGAAGATGCTTTTGATATGCGAGTTTATCTTGTTTCAAATCCTTTCTGAAATATATTTTAAGATCTATACACATTATCACAGAATCATTCCACAATAATCACGTTTTATGACAGCAATTGAGATGGCTCGGGTACATGGAGCACTCAGGTACCATCTTCCCCTGGTAGTCCCGGTCCACATATATATATATACACTTGTAGCTCCACCGTCTGAGTTGGTGGCCAGACGTTGCTCATCAATCATTTATTTGAAAATGCAATGAAAAATTGTCATGTTCATTGTGTGAGGTTATCTCCTGGCATTCAGTTTGATTAAATCAGGTGGAGAGGCTTTCAGATATATATTCGGGAAACTTCATACGCTCCCCGGGATCTGATGATGATCACGTGCACTCCCACGGGAGTAGTTTATGTGTTAGGTTTTGTTTTCTTTTTGCTACCGGGTGTCAAGTCGCAGACCTAAAAATCGTCAAAGTCTCGGATTAATTATGGCATCATACCCGCAGTCTCGTTTTAGTATGGCATCATACCCACAGTCTCGTTTTAGTATGGCATCATACCCGCAGTCTTGTTTTAGTATGGCATCATACCCGCAGTCTCGTTTTAGTATGGCATCATACCCGGATTCTCGTTTCAGTATGGCATCATACCCGCAGTCTCGTTTCAGTATTGCATCATACCCACAGTCTCGTTTAAGTATGGCATCATACCCACAGTCTCGTTTTAGTATGGCATCATACCCGGATTCTCGTTTCAGTATGGCATCATACCCGCAGTCTCGTTTCAGTATTGCATCATACCCACAGTCTCGTTTAAGTATGGCATCATACCCACAGTCTCGTTTTAGTATGGCATCATACCCGGATTCTCGTTTCAGTATGGCATCATACCCGCAGTCTCGTTTCAGTATTGCATCATACCCACAGTCTCGTTTAAGTATGACATCATACCCGGATTCTCGTTTTAGTATGACATCATACCCACAGTCTCGTTTTAGTATGACATCATACCCACAGTCTCGTTTTAGTTTGGCATCATACCCACAGTCTCGTTTGAGTATGACATCATACCCGGATTCTCGTTTCAGTATGGCATCATACCCACAGTCTCGTTTAAGTATGACATCATACCCGGATTCTCGTTTCAGTATGGCATCATAACTGCAGACTCGTTTTAGTGTGGCAACATACCCGGAGTCTCGTTTCAGTATGGCATCATACCCGTAGTCTCATTTTAGTAAGGCATCATACCAGGAATCTCGTTTCAGTATGGCATCGTACCCGTAGTCTCATTTTAGTAAGGCCTCATACCCGGATTCTCGTTCCAGTATGGCATCATAACTGCAGACTCGTTTAAGTATGGCAACATATCCGGAGTCTCGTTTCAGTATGGCATCATACCCGCAGTCTCATTTTAGTAAGGCATTATACCCGGAGTCTCGTTTTAGTATGGCGTCGTACCCGGAGTCTCGTTTCAGTATGGCATCATACCCGCAGTCTCGTTTCAGTATGGCATCATACCCGCAGTCTCGTTTTACTAAGGCATCATACCCGCACTCTCGTTTCAGTATGGCATCATACCCACAGTCTCGTTTTAGTATGGCATCATACCCGCAGTTTCTTTTTAGTATGGCCTAATACAAGTTTCTTTTTAGAATGGCTGTTAATCGGACAACGAGCTACGGTTCCTGACTACTTTCGACAAGCTACTGCCATACATAGTATAGAACTATCAACCACAAACAGTGTAATGTCAAACACAAATGGCTGTTTCAATCAAACGCGGTTTTTAATAATTCTATAGAATATATCGTAGATTTTTGATCGTCATCATTAGTTGAAATAACTTCTGATAAGAATTCTTCACATTGTATACCTATATTGCTTATGCTGAACCTAAGCGCAGGTACACCCGTCATTACTGGCTAACCATACAGAACACATTGCATATTGTTTATCTTAGTAATGTAACTGGTATCGATGTTCATGTACATCACATTGATATAAAAATACACCAAGTAATTATTTTTGATGAATTTAGATATAAGACTATTTAAATGGGTTCTACTGAGACTTTCGCATAACTTTTAGTTAATCTGGGTGTTTTTTATTCTATCAAGCAGGAATTAGATAATCTTATATCAAGAGACCAAAAAGATAAACGAGATCAAAGATCCTATTTCTTAGGGGGCCGGGGAACATCTCGATAGTTTATACTGCAACTGCTTCAAAATACGTCCATTGTCTTATGACGTAATTCTTTAAAGGTTTGTTGAAATATGCTCCTTAAACTTTCAATTTTACTAATTACCAACTTCGAGCTATGTTTTCACGAAAATTTAATTCCGCGAGACAAAATTGAAATGAAACAGCCTGCGGGAAGAAAACGTTATAATCATCCTGTGTCGTTAAATGGTTCGCGCAATGATGATGTTCTCACACCGCAGGTCATTGCACCACTTGTTTTTCCATTTCAATCCCGCGTCTCCTTTGTATTGTTAGAATTACGGATTTTTCTCAAGCGTGTTAATGCTACTTGTTAAACAAAATAGATTCCATTAGTTTAAACTAATGTTATAAAAAAAACACTTTTAAAAATGATATCTGAATATGTTCACATAACCGGTAGACCCTGGTCACTGTACGTCCGATATAAAGTAGACGGAAGCTAACGAGTTAGACTATACTGATGTCAAACTGCTCTAAGGTCTAAAACAGTCAAATGCTAATCACGTATATGTGGTTACAAAATTCTTAACATAATTTCATTCTTACTTTACGTAGATTTGGTTGTGTATTTTCATTTCAAATCAAAATGGCTTATTGCTTGCCTCCAAACCATGTTTTACAAATGAAACTCCGAAATACTAGGAACCGGGTTTTTTAACATTGCAACCGAATTCCTTCTACATGTACGATACTGTCAATAACAAAGACACGACATTCACGATTACTCTAGTCCACCCGTATCCATTATTACGGTTATTACTGAAAGGAGAAACGAAACGTAATGGAGTTCATTTCGTTTCGTTTCATTTCGTTTCTACTTTTAGTAATATCGCCATTGTTGCACATGATCAGCATTGTCCCAGTTGCTGCTCTGACAAACAGTCGGTTTATACTAATCCGTACTGCTTATACTATTGAGCGCTAGTTCTACGGCTTGTCCCCTATGTTTCCGTGATGTATCGCCTCCATGTACCTATCCACTGACCTTGTAACTTCTCTTACTGTTGTCCTTTCTCATACTGATAAGATGGCTATGTCTTTCCCTTGATTGTCGTGTTGGATATTGGTCTTGCTCGACTCGTAAAGATATATGGGGGCATATGGATTATAACATGTCCGATTGTGGCGTATACCGCAGAAAATTGTAAACAGATCATGTCCCACAGGAAATTCCAAACTAATAAAATATTGAGGAGGAAATATTCAATTTCAGAATACAGATAAAATAAATATGTCGAAGATGTATCTATTGTGTATTAATTGTGATAAGCATATATGTTTGGTGTGCTGGTTATTTGTCATCCCCTTTCATTGCGCTCTACTAAAACCATCAACTAACTTCTGGTGTATTACAATATCAAGCTTCCCTGGGGAATCCTTGGACTCGTGATCGCCGACATATAAATGTTTAATTTTGTTCGTGTAGTGTCATGACTCACGATATATTCTAGAGCATCAGTAATTAATCAGTTTCAAAATATAGTTCTCAAGGGATTTTCCATTCGAACAGAAGTATGTAGATTAAGAAGGATTATTAGTGCTCCACTGGTTACGGTACACTGGAGACGCAGCGGTACTACTTTAGAGAGGAAGTCTTTTTTACTGGCGCGCACAACTATAGGAGAGCGAGGTATACCCATTGGCAGCGCTTTAACTTCATTAGGATTATGCCAATGATCAAAAGTAGATGTAATATATTGGTGACCTAAAAAAATGTTATATATTGTTGTGTGATATATTGTAATCTATATATAGTATTATGATATACAGTAATTTTTGATAATTGTTTTTTTTTCCTCCAAATTGTCATTTTTTTCCCCTTTGAAATTATTCAAATAATTGAATTAATAAACTCATCTGTTACATTGCCTTGATTTGATTTTTCATACTACTAATAATATTATTCAAAAAGTGTGTTCGAACTATCCGCCTATCCGAACGGACCGGAGGTAACAGTA